GGCTCCATGTGGCCACCGTAGCTGGCCCTTCATGCCAGACACCTGTGCAAGAATACTCATCTCCTTCCCCACACCTGCCACTGCTCGGGGGCCCTTGCTGGAATGTGAAGTAAGTCGGGGGGCCTTGACAGTAAGTCAGGGGGCCTAGCCCCAAGATGCCCCACTGTAGCTACAGGCCTGGTGCGAAGCATAGATAAGAGAAACAGTGAAGACACAACAGAATCAAAAGTCAACATTCCAAAGTAGGCTTGCCAAGTCCCCCCGGGGGGCGGGTAAACCACCGCCCAAGAGGCCCGTTACCCGACGCCAGCAAATTGGGCCCCGGGGGGAACTCCACGTCCCCAGCGTGATGATGTCACCCAGAAGTGACATCATCACACTGGCCACGTTGGGGGCCGGACACTCTATGATTTGAGGGGAAACTCTATGGTTTCCCCTCAAATCCTAGTGGCCCCGCCTCCAATGTGCCAACGTGATGACGTCACTTCCGGGTGGCGTCATCGCGGAGGCGGACTCCAGGGACGCCGCAGGACTCCCCCGCAGTATGTAATTTTGGACTTTGGCAACCCTATTCCAAAGTCATCTCACTCCCATGGCAGCAGGGCTAGACAGAGGCCTAGCTGACAGCGGCGTGTAAGAAAGGGCCAAGAGAACTAAGCACTGAGGCAACACTGCCTGCCCTCCCTCCCTCTCATAATCTGCCCAAGTTCACAGAATCAGCATTGCTGTCAGATTCTAGCCTCTGTTTAAAAGCCTCCAAAGAAGGAGAACCCATTGATTTACATTACTGAAAGTCTGCCTTTCTCACTGAGATTTGAGGCAAATCACACAGTGTAACACACAGAGACTGGCAATGGCAAACCGCCTCTGAATGTCTCTTGCCTTGAAAACCCTACTGGGTCGCCATCAGTCAGCTGTGACTTGATGGCACAAAAAAAAAGTCAAGACAGTCAATGGCTGGGACATCCAATGAACGATGCAAGAGGGTATGAACTGCAGAAATACAAAGACACAAATCTGACACAGAGCTGAAACAAAGCGTTTGAACACGATACGTTAAAAAGCTAAAAGTTAAATCCGGACCCCAAAGAGAAAACAACAAACTTCTACTCAACTACCATAAATGTAGTGTTCTAACTTGGCATAGACACCCGATTTAATTCATATTACCCTCCTTTACAGGGGCATGTCAGGCCTTTAAAGCCTTTCACACATGTTCTCCGTAATTTGCACTAGTAAAGGTAAAGGTTCCCTTGCTCGAAAGCCAGTCGAATCCGACTCTAGGGTCGCGGTGCTCATCTCCGTTTCAAAGCCGAAGAGCCAGCGCTGTCCGAAGACGTTTCCGTGGTCATGTGGCCGGCATAACTAAACACCAAGGCTCACGGAACGCTGTTCCCTTCCCACTGAAGTGGTACCTATTTATCTACTTGCAATTTCTTGCTTTCGAACTGCTAGGTTGGCAGGAGCTGGAGCTAGAGACGGGAGCTCACTCCATCATGCGGCACACTCGGGTCTTGAACTGCTGATGGTTTATACACTTAGCGGTGCCCACAGAGCCAAGTGCTGGTCACTTGTGTGAACCAAGAATCCTCCCAGGAACTGGAGATTGCCCTGAGAAAGGGAGCTGCCAGCACTTTCCATCATGGCAGTCCATGAGGATACATTTGCCCCACTCCAGTTTCAAATCTCCCCTTGCACCTGGTTTTGCCCTTTCTTTAGCTACCACCACTAGTTACCCCCACTCACCAACAAGCCACTTCACTGTTCTATTGGCTGCTTTGTTCATGGGCACAACCTGCTTGCACACGAAAGCTTACATCTTAAGTAAAACTTTGTTGGTCTTAAAGGTGCCGTTAGACCCAAACTTTGTTCTGCAGATACAACAGTGAAGTCTTCTATGCCATTCCATCATACTCAGAACCAGGGGTCGTTTCGTACAAAAAGAGCTAGGGGAACTCATTAGCATAACTCATTAGCATATGCCACACCCCCTGACATCACCGGAAGTGTGTCATAAGGCCACACACCCCGCCCCCAACGGTCC